CTTGGGTAACCAGCTCAGTTCCTACTACCAAGAATTTCAACTAACTCACTACTTCCAAATTTAGGATATACTTTACTTATATAAACAGTGTGCTTTTATTTCAGTGAAACCAGAAACTATTTAAACCTGCTCTTTTGTTAAAGATTATTCCCTAACAAAAATGTTCCTTTGCACATCAATAGGGGATGCTCCAATTACATGTTTCTGACAAGAAAATGATTAGAAGCAACCAACCAGACATACACAGATACATACACATTCTCAAGCTGCAAAATGCCAGATTCCCATGAATCACACCTTGTTGGCATCTTTGCCATTAATAATGTAGCAAGTGTCATAAAATATTTAATATTTACATTTTATAGTAATTATCATTGCTTTCCCCTTCAGGGTTAGTGGCTCAGATGAAGAAGTAAATCTAAGCCTGTTTTCATGTGACCTGAAATGTCAAGGTGACAAATTCATTTTAAGGCTTGACTTGAGGTATTAGAGTGAAGGCTACTGAACGAAGCAAACTGGTCAGTTATAAAACCGGAGGGGACCGATCATCAGTAAGAAAGGAGGGCAGCAGGATGTTCAATAGCTGGATTCTCAACACAGGAACTAGAGTTAAACGAATTGTTACCTCTGGATTTCAATGATCATAGTAGTCAAGTCTTCTCATAACCACTAGTACAGATGACTTTTACTAGAAAATCTAAAGGAGAAAGGGGAAAAGTATACATTACAGAAGATAAGTTTGGGGGTGGGATGGGGTTCCTCAGTAAATTTCAGTAAAATTTAAGCCTCTAAATGGTGAGAAGTAATTCTAAACATTCACAAGGAATAAGGCAAAATCTAAACATCCTTCATAACTTGAATACAATTCAGAACCAGCACCTGGAGCTGGAAATTCAGGACGACTACGTCTTCATGAAAACTTCAAGTAGTTCTCTTTCTTTAAAATAGGTTCAAAATGTACTATAAAGACCTATGGGATTTATTTCTGCAGGTTGGGTAGATTTATGTATTTAGAAAAAGGCTACCAGGAATATGTTCCCAGAAAATGACTTTGAGCTCAAGTGAATGATCTGATTGCTGGCCTTTCAAAGGAAATCAATAATAATAAAAAAAAATAGGATTCTGTGAAATGAGTGGTTTCCCCTGGTGAAGCCAGGCCCCCATCACTGCACTTATCCAGAATGAACCTGACACAGACTATAATGGCTTTGTGATTAGTGTGAATGAATGTTCCTCAACACACAGATCCACTATTGATTTTTTTAATTAATAATAATGTCTTATATTTACATTAGTTATCATCTCCAAGGAAATCGGAGTGCTTTATAGTTGATGAATTCCAATTTATCTTCATACCATTGTGCTGAATGTATAGATTAGGAATTCCAGTTGCATTTTAAGGAGGAAAAAAAAAAAACCCAGAAAAGCTAAATCATTGTCCATGGAGACTTCAGAAAGCTAAAATTAGAATTATCAGTTGAAATCTGGTAGTCTTGACTTATAATTCTGGCTGTTTTCCAAAAACATCTGGTCAGATGGATCAACTCTTAGGAAAAAGGAATCAAACAATTATTTGAATTGCGATGATTAATAGAACTTTACATTTCTTTTAAAAATTTTGGGGATGTACTTAACTAGGTTTAAGACATTTTTATTTATTAGACTACATGCATTTTTAGTGGCCTATGTTAATATCTTTGGAATGCTCTTAAGTCACGTGTGTCAGAAGTCTATCTCCTGGTAAGGGAACGATGTAAAACTTGAATTCTATTAGGTAGGTGTGATTTTTCAAAGGCTGGACATCTCCATTGCTTACCTGGCATTAGTTTAGCTGACAAAAAAAGAAATACTCTCCCCAACAAAAAAGTGTTCAAAACCCTTACTTGTACCTAAGGGAAGGTTACAACCATTCTTTCAGTCACCCATTCCTCCAGCCTTAAAAATGTGAGACTGATTTTCTTCCCCTTCTTGCAATACAATTTCTGTTAGTTTTTCCCCCGACAAGTTGGTTAGTTTGTTTCTCTGTATTCTGTTTCCTGCTGCCCCTCTGCTCCTCACCTACAATGTCTTAACCTCCGTGTCTGTCTCCCCTACTTCTGTTGTCTATTCCTCAACACATCTTAGGTCAATTTTCCTGATAAATTCTCTGTGACTTTTGAAATTATGAATTATTCCGGTGCACCAAAAGTATACAGAATAGCATGTTAAACATTCATTCACTACCCAGATGAAAAAAAAAAGTGACATTAGAGATACATTCAAAAGTCGTCTTTGAAGCCTCGCCCTGATTTCATCTTTTTCCTTCCCCACTATCACGAATTTAATGATTATTCTTCTCATGTGCATTTTTACATTTTTACCATATATAGACTGTATCCCTAAAAATGTATAGTATTTCTTCACTCCAATTATTTATATTTCTGAAATTTTCATTTTTTTATACTGCTTTAATATTTCCAGTGTTATTTTAAGATTTATCCACATTAGTGCATTGAGTTTGTTCCCTTCTCTTTTATTGCTGTCTTCCTTTGCGTCCAAACACTACAATTTTTCCATTCTTCTCAGGATGGACATTGAGACTGTTTGCAATCTTTTTTCTCAAATACAAACAAATATGTAATAAACATGTTTTAACATACATCCTTTTTTTCTATTTATTTATGAGTGTTTCTCTAGGATATATACCCAAAGTAAATGAACATAGGACCTTCTCGTTGTCAATTTTTGGTTAAAAAACGGTTGTTATCAACTGACACGCCCTGCATACGTGCCACGTTCCATCTTAAGAAAAACTTTGTTGGCCTTTCCATTAGCTTTCAAAAGGAACTTCAATTCCTTTGAAAGAGAAGCACCTACTCACTTCTCTATCTGAAGGGACCTCCCCGCCAGGGACTCCTTTTTGTGATGGATCACAAATTCAAAAGCTTTTGGACTTCACGCTGAAATATGTGTGAAAAATGCAGGGCATCATAAATGCCCAAAGTATGTTCCGAGCCATAGTGAGCAAGTAAATTATACTCATGATGGCTTGACTGTCTGCCTGGTAGGGCATTCTTATTTCTGAATATTGACCACTCCTGTGCAATATGAGTAATAGCTTTCCATTAGACATACTATTTGAGAAGTCCGAATTCCATGCTTTAGACCATGATGAGTAACTGAGAACTGACCATTTCTTTAATCTCTTGTATGCAAAATAACATACCCAACTTATGAGTATGACCAGACATTTTTCTTTTCTCCTTGAATTTTAGGTCTCATTGTCCATGAAGGAGCTGCAGTTTACAGAGTGTTTAAGCGTTGGCGAGCTGTTAACTTACACTGGGATGTATTAAATTACGACAAAGCCACAGACATCGAAGAAAGCAGCCGCGGAGAGTCTTCCACAAGCAGGACTTTATGGTTGCCATTGACGGCTCTACGGAACAGGAACTTGGTCCACCCCACACAATTAACCTCCCCAAGGTTTCAGTGTGGCTATGTGTTATTACATCTATTCAATCGGATGAGGCCCCATGAAGATCTGTCAGAAGATAACAGCTCGGGGGAGGTTGTCATGAGAGTGACTTCAGTGTGACAAAGTTAAGAAGGTGTGGTGTGGACCCCCCTGCACATTTTGGAATGTAATTGCAATGAATGGCAAAACCATAGCACTTCTAAAAACACACATCTATGAACTTTTTAAAATTTATGCTTTTTATATGAACATTTGAATTGCAAATACATTTTTCTGAAAAAATAGAGTCCTCCTGTTCTTTGCTTTCTGATTTATCACATCTTTTATAAGTTGGTACTTGAAATCATTATACATATTATTTAACTCTACTTGGTTAAAAGAATGATGAAAGTTATCCTTAAGGTCAAAACTATTTTTTCTTGCTTGTTTTAAATATATTTTTATCAAACTTTTTGCTCCATGTGTAATTTTTCAAGCATGCTACAAATGCGGAAGAGTTAGGATGCTGTGGGCAAGTTCCAAAGTGCCTCTCAAGTGCGAAGCACAAAGACTTTTCTGTGAGGCTCTGCACTGGTCCTCTTCATACCTCATGCTGGTCAGCAAACTTGAGCATGACTTTTTTTGTGAGTGAAATAACCTGTCACCAGGAATGCTAGTTCTAGGAATTATAGCTTGTTTTCTAACTTCTAAAACAAAACAGAGAGCTTATAGAAAGATGATTGGTATAAAATAGTTTTACAGGCATACTTTGAAGATATTGTGGGTTCAGCTCCAGACCCACAATAAAGTGAGTCACTAGAATTTTTTGGTTTTCCAGAGCCTATGAAAGTTATGTTTACACTCTACTGCAGTCCATTAAGTGTGCAATAGCATTACTTCTAAAAACACAATGTACTTAAGTTTATTTAAAAAATCTAAAAAAAGCTAAACATCATCTACACCTTCAAGTTATAATAATAACAGAAAAGATCACTGATCACAGATCATCATAACAAGGATAATAATGAAAACATCTGAAATGTTCCAAGAATTACCGAAACGTGACACAGACACAACGTGGGCAAATGCTGTTGGAGAAATGGTGCCGATAGACTTGCTCTACACTGGGTTGACCTAGACCTCCAATTTGTGAAAAAACACAATGTCTGTAAAGCACAATAAAGTACAATAAAATGAGGTGTGCCTGTACACCAGGACATAGTTACATAGGGAGGGTGTCCTGCATACTTATAACCCTAAAAGCTCACCAAAATGTTGCATCATTTCATGTGTAATATACTGCCTCACCCGTGCACAGCCCTCTCATAGACACATCACAATTATTTTGGTTAATTATTAGTGCATTGATCTCTATGGGTACCATCTTATTAGCTTTTCTTTTTGTAAAAGCTTATATTCCTACTTAATCATTTAAACACCGATTCTATTACTTGGTTTAATGAAGTCCCGGGAAATACATTCTCCAGCAGCAAGAAGTGTTTCTCTTTTACTAGATAAGTATTTTTCAAATGAAAAGAGGAAAGGAAAAATGAGGCTATTGACTCCCCAGGAACGGGCTGCTAAGTAGTGATACCTGGGGATTTTCCACCTTTTAATCCTCTGATGGAGGGAAATGGAACATGTTAGTCGGCAAGGGCAGAACAGACGAGGAGGCGGTGGTTATGCTTTCCTTAGAAATGTGGGCTCAACATGTAGGTCATTTGAAGTAATTGATGATTCAATGTTAAAGCATATGAAATAAAATGGTTTACATTCTATTTTCTAAAAATAACCTTTGAATGATAAATAATAGAATAATGTTTACAGGTAGCATTGTGATTCTTACATAGCAAATTCTACCAATACTTGAAATTATATTTTCTCAATTGAAAAAACTGTGTCACAGGTGAGTTAAGGATGTGACAATTTGTAGAAATGTGAAGGAAAAATCAGGAAGTCATGAAAGAAGGAAAATTCAACCACTATTTCGGGGCAGATCTTAGAAGTGAGAGTGTTGTTTCTTTGAATCTGACTTTACGTGAGCACCGTCCTGGGTGAGGCACCGGGAGGTGGAGATTGTCCTATCAGTCCGGTCCCTGCTGTCAGTCTTGCCACCTGGGACCGGAAGGCAGGTTATTCAGTAGAGACACCAGGGATGCAAATCCACTGTCAAAGCAACAATCCATTATTTGTGCTCTGCAGGTGTTGGTCTTTGTCCTGGATGCTTTAACCACTAAAGAAGAGGCATCAACAACATCACGTTTAACGGAGAATAATTGTGGGTACTGTTGTTTGGAGCATTGTGTTAAAAAATACTGGATAAAGGGACTTTAGACACAGATTAGACTAGCACTGCTCTGGTATTTAGCCAGCCTGCACTTCTAACCAGTGTACACCTTTGTGTTCATACCAACTCATTCAAAAATCAGGAGGAGCAGCAGATGAGAAACCCTCTCTCTGGGACAC